ACAGGGAGCATAGAGAAATTATCTGGTTTTAATTGACATTCCTTGGTGCTGTCTACTTGCTCATGTTTCACAGCTGAATATATTTTAAAGTACTGTTAAATTCATTAAATAGCCCATGGTAGGGGTTACTGGTACTTTCCAGCTCATAGAGTTTGCCTCTGCATCTTTGCATTGATGCTTTGGTTTTAACCCAGCGATGAACTCGTTTTATTTGTCTGTTCTAGTGTTTTAGCTGTTTTCTACAGTCTCAACAGTGGAAGAAATAGATCCATCTGCTCATCTTTCGTGAGCTGTTCATTGCTGTTTGAATTGAAATACTGCTGTTTTAAAAAGTTAAAAAGATCAAGGGAAGGGAATTCAATGCTTTCATTCAGTTGGAGCACGATTCAGGTTTTTGAACACATTTAATAGAAATAAACATTTTAAACTGCTAGAGGCATCTTGTCAAAGAAGGTAAAACCACATCTGTTCGGGTTTTTTCTCAAATGTCAAACCCACTATGAGAAAGAACCTAAAGAAAAGGACATATGGTAACAGAAAGTAATAGTTTATAGCTAGATTAAGTTAACAAAAGCAAATAAAAAAAACTCCAACTTGTTTCTTTCTTTTAGGTTAACAAGTCTTTCATAACATCCTACATAAACATTCAAATACTTAATCTTAAAAATAATCAAAATAGGTTCTTTTATAGAGCTATGTATATTACATGTGAGCAGAAATACTTTGCCCAGGTTGTGTATGTGAAGAATTGTAACAGTTATCCTCTGTCTGTATTTGAACTTTGAACTTGAGTAGTTTACATTTAAAAATTCAAGAAGAATTATAGAATGGCTTGGGTTGGAGGGGACCTTAGATTGTCTCGTTCCAGCCCCTCTTGCCATGGGCAGGGGCAGCTTCCACTGGACCAGGTTGCTCAGCCCTAGCCAACCTGGCCTTGAACACTGCCAGGGATGGAGCGTCCATAATGTCTCTGGGCAAACTGTTCCTGTGCCTCAGCACCCTCAAAATTTGAAATGTACTCCTAATATCCAATTTCAGCCTATCCTCTTGCAGTTTAAAGCCATTGCCCATTGACCTGTCACTACATGTCTTGTCCTTCTCCAGCTTTCTTGTAGGCCCCATTAGGTACTGGAAGGTGCTCTAAAATCTCCTTGGAGCCTTCTCTTCTCTTTCAGCCTGTTCATAGGAGAGGAGCTCCAGCCCTCTCGTCACCTTCATGCTTCTCTTCTGGACTTGCTCCAGCAGGTTCATGTCCTTATTATGTTGGGGGTTGCAGAGCTGAGTGCAGGGCTCCACATGGGGTCTGATGAGAGCAGAGCAGAAGGGGAGAATTGTCTCCCTGGACCTGCTGGCCATGCTGCTTTTGATCCTGCCCAGGATGTGGCTGGCTTTCAGGGCTGCCAGCGCTCATGTTGAGTTTAACGGCCTTATGAGGATAGACTTGGGGCAGATTTTCTTTATAATTGCCTTTCATAGCTAGTCAAGCAGACATTGTCAAGAAAATTGTTTTGTCTCTATAAAATATGCTCCTGAAATCTTCACATCCAAATAAGGAGGGGTAAAATCAATCTCTTATTGACATACTTGATTAGAAATATGTAACTAGCATTGATGCTATCACTTGTATATGTATGCTGGGATGTTGTATTGAAGAAGCAGAAGATAGATTATGTCTTGTGTGAAAACATTACTGCCAGCTAATAACTTACTATGCTCTGAAGAGGCAAATTAGTAATATAAATAAGAAGGCATTTTGGGGTCAAAGCAGAAAGGCTTGTAGGGTGGAAAATAAATTACTCTTGCTTTTCATCCTTTCCTAATAATTTATTTGGTGGCTTTGCTTTGCAACTTTTAAAGTGCCCCCTTGGCTTTGGCTGCAGTGAAATGAGATGTCAGCACAGTTTGACTTAAAATTTATTTTGAGTGGGGAGGTCTAGGGAGGAGGTGCTTCACTTGCCTGAAAATGCTTTTACTCCAGCTCAGACATCTATCAAATGAGAGCTGGAAAATCTTAATTGATTTAATATATTTGTTCTTACTTTTAGATTAACCTGTGATCTTAATTCCATACATTGGTCTTGAGATTTCAGAAATGGGTACAGGACAATTTTCTGCTTTAGCAGAAAATGAAGTGGTAGCTGAAGACCCACTGAAATGCATTTTTTGACTTTGTTTGCTCATGGATATGAGATTGTAACTCTGCAGCATCAGCAGTGAAGGGATACTTCAGTAGCATCAGCATCAATATAACAGAGCAGAACAGAAATAAGTCAGCAGCGGGAGTTCAGCAGAGGAGGGCCAAGCTCGGTGAGATTGAACAACAGTGATGATCACAGAGAGCTGTCTATAGGTAATCTGATGAGGTATCTGGAAAGGTCTTTCCAGGGGCTCTTGGAGCCATATCGGGAGTGTAGGGATATTCCTTGGGATTGACTTTTGTAGCATATATTTGTGTTCTGGGGAATGGTTCCTTTTTGGATTAATACCATTGACTTTTTAAAGTGTGATTGCAGTGAAAATAAAGCTTGAATAATTCTCCATCTGCCAGCAGTAGTACTTTTCTATTAATAGATTGAGTCATTAATTGTCTAAGGACTATATTATAACACTAGCTGTTTAAGTATTACTCCAAATTATGCTTTACAAAAACAAGTTTACAGTAAGATGGCTATGATGAAGAAATAAATTTATGTTGTTCTGTCCAGACTGTTTATGTTCCAGGTTAGGGAGCTTGTACTTAGAAAAAAGAAAACAAAATTTGGCATCATAAATAGATTAATGTTAAGTTAATGATAATTAATGTCAAGTTAATGATAATTGTAAGTTACCATGATGATAATTTTATTAAAAGATGCTTTGTAGAAAATGGTCAAACTTTGCCTGAGTTTTGCAGTCCTGTGGAAAAGCAGTTAATGCTGCCATGGTACATTTTTCTCAGTAACTAATACTTGGCTTTTGAAACCAGATTCATTGCTATAGATTATGAACACTTAGTAGAAATGAGTTTGAGTGCTACTAATACTACTATTACACTGCAGTCTGAAATTGTACACAGGCAGAATTTCATGTTCTCCTAAGGATAAGGGCCACCTCAGCTTGGGAAACCTGTAGGTAATTCCTTACTCCTTAACACTGAGGGCATTTCCCAGGACCTCTGAAAAAAATCTAAAGGCATCTTGTTGTCAGACAAGTTGAATCCTTGTTAATTTTTATGAATAAGAATTAATTATCTTAACCAAACAGCTGAATCTTGAACTGGATGATTTTCTGAGAATGATCTCACCTTTTTGAGTTGTTGGGTTTTGCTGGATTTTTTGAGAGTCTGTAAATTAAGGTAGTTAGTGTTTCAAGAGTTAGTGTAGTTTGGGTAGGGATCTTGTATAAGTAGATTGTAAATCTGCTTGCAAGCTGCACCTCCTAATCTTCTTAAAAGGATTTTGACAAGAGAGTTAATGCTTTTTAATACTTGTCAGCTAGTGCACAGTCAAGAAAAAAAGAAATGGGTGAAAATCTTACATGAAATATTTCAAAAGAGAGCTATTGTAGTTCATTGTAGTTTGAAGTGGTAAGAGAATGTCACTGTGATGTAGAAGCAAGTGCATACACCAGAGAATTATTATTCTCATCTGTGGTTAATAAGGGTAAATTGGAGTATAAACAAGAATAGAGATTTAATCCCTCCTTGACATAATTTAATAAGAAAGATGAGATACTGAGATTCAGTGCAAGTAAGATCTGGGTTTCTTCACTGAGACAAAGATTTGGATTCCTTAAAGTCTTTGATTTCAAAGAGGAATTTTTAAAAAATCTTGTTGGAGGGAGTGCTTACACTGTTAATATAACAATAAGGTGAATAAAGATATGTATTTGTGAACTTAGTCTTTGCTCATTGTAGCTACCTGACTTCTCTTCATTATAAGCCCATCCACTGGTGGAAAGGACATTTTTGTCAGAAAAATTAACTAGCAACATTTGAGTGAGTAATAAGTTTAGTGATTACTAGCAGTTATCTCTTGTTCTGTTATGTCTTTGTACATGAATAATTTCTTCATCTGATTGAGTATGATGTCCTAGGAAAATTCTGTTTCTTTCTGTCCTTAGTGGTTTGTATTTAGTCTGTTATAATTTTTTTTTTCTAATGCTGTCAGCTAGTGTTTGGCTTCATAATATTTGATAATCACATTTAAAGTGTGTTACAGAGCTAATTCACTTTATTTTCATAAATATGTAGTAGTATGCTGATCCTGCTGAACTGCTGGTCTACATGCTACTTTGTGGTAGAGCATTCTGCAATTTTATTTTCCTTGAAATCTTGCTTTTTTTTAAAGGTGTTGCTGTCAAAGGTTTAAAATATTTTAAATATTGGAATTAAAACTCATGAGTGTTACTGATGAAAAATTAAGATTCTTGCTTGCGTATTTAATTTGTCCAACACTAAGACACTTAATTTGTCCAACAGACACTTCATGGCAGACAATATACGTATTAAAGATTTCCTTCTTCCTTGAAAGTGAGAAGAGGAAAGTCAGTGTATAGTCAGTAAAATGCAGAAGAGACGCTTGGATGTAGGAGTTACTGTTGGTATCTAATGCTTTCCATTTAGACACATAGAGAACATTTGTTTTGGGCACTGATTCCACGGACCTCTTGTGTGTTTGGATATCTGGTTATGTTTCCTTACAAACCTAAAGCTATAAATTATTCTAAGATCTTTAGGATTAGAACTGTATCATCATATATACTTGTACAGTGATGCTGCATTGAGACTTTGGTGCTATGTGAGCTTCTGGATACTGCCTGTGTTGAAATTATAAGAGTCATGTTCAAGTTGTTAAAGGGCAGTTGTTAGGATGTCTTGGAAGGAGTTTATTATGTAGTTGTAAAATGCATTTTAATTTGTTTATATTATGGTGTGATATTTAATGCAAACATTTTTAAGTTCAGTGCATGCAGGTGGAGATCTTTCTCTGATTAAGCCCTTGTGTTTTGTTTTCATGCAGGCCTTTGGAACGTTCTAGTGAAGATGTAGATATAATATTCGCACGACTGAAAGAAGTGAAAGCTTTTGAGAAATTTCATCCAAACCTTCTCCAGCAGATATGTCTCTGTGGATATTATGAAAATCTGGAAAAAGGAATCACATGTAAGACAGCTTCATAGGATTATGTATTTTATGTAGATAAACTTGGGGGTTAGACTGTGATTGTCTGTAGGAGATTCATGAGAGCAGAATCAGTGGAATGTTTACAGTCAGTCATGGGGCAAGGCAGGACTAAAGTGCTGCTTGCTCTACAAACACAGTGTGTAGTGAATCTATGGTAACAGGGCATACTGTAGGATCTAAGACTCTACCACTGTTCTGTTGAAAGATTACAAGCCAGTCATTGGACTTAAGCCTCATTCTTCTCCTGTAAATGTGTTATTGATTGCTTTTGCCAGTGCTTTGTGCTGCCAGGGGCAAAGGTGTGTCAGCAGCACATCACTGATAGTGTGTGGTTTCCAGGCACCCTGGCACAAGCCAGACCTGCAGAGCTGCAAACTGCTGAGAGGTACAGCAGCTCTGTGCCTGCACTGGCAGCCCGTGGGCCTGATGTAGGTGCACACCTGTGCTTGCTCTGTGAAGCTGAGATGGAAATAAGTGGTAGTCCTGTGATGGGAATGTATGCCAGGGGAATAGCTGATGAAAACCTGTGGTATTAGTAAAGTCTCAGAAACACCTCAGGTAAATCTGGCATGCAGCACTGGAGTTTGCTTAGAGTAACAGGGATTCTGATGCTCTGTAATCACACAGGTGGAATGCCTGGACATCAAAGTCTTGCAGTTGCTGTTCAGCCAGAACTCTTACTGAATTCATTGGTAGCTGTGTCTGCACTGGATGATTGTGAATTTCAAAGGCACATTGTTCTGAAAAACTTTTTCCTTGTTTGTTTTGTTTCTGTAGTTGGTTAATTAACTAAGAGAACAGTAGAACAGAAGCAAACTGGGGAGAAGAGTGAAGCAGTTCTATGTGCTTTCATTGTTTCCATAGTGTATTGACTAGTTTACTAAAATATGTGCTTTCCAATGTCACTGGAAGTATTACTGTAATTGTAAATAAGTAATCTCATACGGCAAATTGGATGGTGCCAGCAGTGACCGCAGTATTGCAGTAATATGTGAGAAAATGTTTATTACTGTTGCTAAGATAACTCTTATTGACAAGATTTCATCTTTTCAGTATTCCGTCAGGGTGATATTGGGACGAATTGGTACGCTGTCCTGACAGGATCACTGGATGTGAAGGTGTCTGATACAAGCAACCACCAGGTAAAATGCAACCATCTGGTCAGTAGTACAAAGAAAGAATAAAATTTATGGTGAGGTAGATAACAACACATTCTATACAGATATTTTGTCATATCACAAGGATGTATATGTTTCTCTGAGTCTCTTTTAGTCTTAGTTGTCCTTAGTTTAAGGAAGGCAAATCATACCATTGATTATAAGAAACTGAAGAGTAATGCTCTGAAAATGGTCTGCATTTCAATGTGAAACAAGTCTCCTCTGTCTTTTCCAGTAGTGCTAAAGAAGTTGTGCTAGATTGGAGAGTTGTTAATTCATTCTCTAGAAATATTTTAATTCAGTTCTTCTTCAGGATGTTCAAAGTGAACCCACTAGCAATGCAGTCTAATAACAGCATAATGCAGTCTCCACTGCAGAAATGGGGAAGTGGTGTAGTAATAGCAAACTATTGGAACTGCTGCCATGTTGGACAAGAAGCCTGTAGGTAATACCTAGTCAGTGTTAAAAAACAGAAGAACAAGTAAAATTCTCCCCAAATTTAAAGTGGTTTCTCAGTATCGCGGTGCTCCTGGATTTATAAAATTCAGAGTAAATAAAAATCTAAAGGGTTGAGATACTTTTAGAGTCTCCCATCCATGTTGTCTAATGTCATGCACCTGCTGCTGTGAGCTTAGTCTTCTGGGAAGGCATCCTGTCCCTTCCCTGCTCCCATGTTTGAGACCAGTGATTGTCCCATGATGTCCCATGGGGTTGTACCTCTGATTAGGGACTCGTTGTGCCTTTGTGTTACTATAGCTATCCAGGACCTTATACAGACTACTACCCATTTTCCCCACCTGGATTGAAAAGAGCATGTGTAGGGGGGGATGGTGGTGGTGTATTTTTTGCCCAGAGTTTGACTGATTGAGGAAAGTTTTTTGCTCATAGCAGAAACTGGATTTTTTTTCACTTTGTTGAGCATCGCATCACTATTGCAATTGGGTCAGAATGCAAGTCAAGGCCGTGTGTGAGTACTGGGTCTTTCTGTTTCCTGCAGTAGAATGGTAGATGCAAAAGGAACTTCTTTCATATTATTTTTAGCAACCTCTTCACTGTACTAAGTAGAGATTGATTGAGAGTATAATTAGCTTAATTTGAGCAATTCTTGGCATGGCCTGGCTGTCACTGGTATTGTCACAATTTGGAACAGTACTGGGCTCTTATGAGACCCTTTTCTGTGGACGTCTAAAGCAATCAGGATTTTCCAGTGTTTGCCAAAAGATGGCACTACACTGTTGTGAAGAATCAATGCTCTTTACTCAGAAAGTAACACATCTGCACAATCTGGATGTTAAATTAAGAATCTCTTTGGAGTGTTGATTTGTTCCATTAGATGGAGTATGGAACACTTTAGTTTCTTAATGAATATAATGTAAATATTTTTTTTCTGCTTGTTCAGGTTAACTTCATTTTCCTGCCAGTAGGAAGCTGTTGAATTACAATTCATGTGATTCTAGTTCTAGAAATTATATTCTGCAGTTATTTCTTACCTCCCATTTCCTTCTCACATGAACAATGAACTGAATTCTTACCACTGCCTAGCTGCCCTAGAATATAGCCTCTCTGCCAAAAACATGGCAGCCCATGCATTTACCATTCCTGTCTGAATAACTTTCATGTGTGGGGACTCCTAAATAGTATTTGAGTCCAACATTTTCTCTGGTTTTGCTCCCGCTTGGGGTTTATACCATGCCTCTCCTTGTCCATTCTTGGTCTCCTTCTCATTCTCCTGCCTGTAGCTCCTAGATGCAGTTCCTGTACAGTCTTGCCTGTACTTTTTTGCTGGCCTGGTACCAGCCATTATTGAAATTGAAATACTTGCTAGCACTCCCTGCCTACTGTGCTCACTACCAACCCAGATGATGGAGGCAATACGGTGTTGTATTGCTGTCAGGGCAGCCCTGGCACACTCCGTTGACAGCGTTGTGCTCCCAGCTGGGGATGGATGACCAGTGCTTAAGGTGTAGGGGTACTTGGAGCACATTTTCCAATCACATCACCCAGGAGCAAAGGTCCTTTGCAAAGTCATAATAATGACTAATTGCTCTGCTGTTACTATTATGCCATAAATGGCACTGATGCTAATGAGAAACTTCCAGCAGAGCAGGACAGATGCAGATGTTTACCTGAGTTTAGAAGTTTGTAGACTCATGTAAAAGTACAGGATTATTCTGTCTTTCCTAGTAGAAAGAAAGCTAACTTGGTATTTAGGTTCCTCTTGGTTAAAATGTCTTTAGACATTTTATGGACACTGTTTAATACTTCAGATAAACAGGAGGTTTTAGATGACCTCCTGAGTTTTCTTGCAGCTTGAATTAGCCTGTGATTATATGATGATGCCTACAGTGTTAATGTAAATACATAATCAATTCTCTTGATTAAAAATATGAGTCCCATTTTGCTAGGCATGTTATCTGTGTGCTTGGGAAACTTAAATTTCATCAAGCCTAGGAATTAATGCATTGTGTACCAGCTACCATGTGCTACCTCTTTGTGCAGTCACTTTTGGTGATTGGTAGCTTCCTCCCATGAGAAGTGCAGTAAGTTATTGTGCACCTGGTCCCTACTAAAAATGTCTTAATAGTCTTTGTTCCTACAGAGTCATGTAGGGAAATGTCTTGCACTAGAAATTAAATCTCAAGGTACTAATGGATCAAGACTTCAGTGTACCTAGTGAGGTATTAATTCATACACATTCTTGTTGCACAGTAGCTTACTAATGTAGACACCTGTGATTTCTCTCAGAAAATATTGGTAATACTGATTATGACCAAGTTGAGAATTCATGTAAACAGAAATATTGATGTTAGCTATTATTTGATATTATAATAACAGGAACTTTTACATCTATTGTTTTGAGGACTTTAATAGAGACAGACGCAGATATTTAGGACCTCATAAAGCCTCGCTTTCCCACTGGTTTGCAAAAATCCTTTCTGCCTGCAAAGCTGTGTTCTGTCACGAGAGGGCAGCGTTGGAACACAGAGCAAGCCCGGGCGCGGGCAGTGTTCAGTGCTGCAATGGACGCTTTGTAAATCGTGTTCGGCTCTTTGACATACACACCTGTTTAAAGAGTTTGGCCAGAGAAAATTTTGCTGTTACTGTTAGTTTTGTCCCACCGAGCTGGTAATTTCATATGCCGTTGGAATGGCTACAGGGATTTGACAGGATTACTCATCCAGTGCATCCTGAGTGGAGTCTGCTGTCTGAAAACTATTAATGGATTTTTTTCTGAGCATTCAACAATCAAGAAGAGATCGAAGAGGACTTTTTATAGGGTGAAAACGTCTCACTGTGAGTTCCAGAGGTAACTGTAATGAACTGCTTTGGTCTTGCCTCAACTTGTTTGTAACAAACACCCTGATAAATACAGTACTTAAAAGTCATAGAAAAATATATACCTTCAAAATAAACAGAAAAGGCAGCCTCTGTAGAATATATCAGCAAGAGGTCTTTGCCCTCAGTTATGATCAGATTCTGACTTTCATTTTTATTTGGCACTGTTGTCTACCCAGTGTTGAGATATTTAGTAATAGAAGTTTCTCTTAGGGATATTCCTGGTTTGGTGTTGTCTTAAATACATTGCTGACAAATTGCCTTGTGTATGTTTCATTTTTGAACTCTGTTTTGAAGCTGAACAGTTTAAGGATGACTGTTGGCAATGTCTCAGAATAAAGCTGGGAATAAATGCATTATGACATCAGTGTTACGATGTTGTCAGATTCTGCAACACTGATTTTTCTGAATCAGATTCAGAGCCTTTTACCCCAAAGTTTTTTCTGATAATCTATGATGGAATGAAAAGAAAAAAGACAAAGACCAAATAGCAATTTGATCTTCTATTTTGCCAGCTGAATTATAATATGTGCTGGCACGTTTTGCCAGCTTATCTTGCTTATGTTGTGATGGAGTTTTTTAGGCAGGTCAGTTTTTAAAAACAGACAAAATTTAACATAGAGCATTGACTTAAAAAACAATTAGCCTGTTTTATAAAAGCTATAAAAGAGGAGCTGTGAGTGCTTGGATGGTACAGCAGTGTCAGCTGTAAGAAGATGCAGAGGGCTGGGGATGAAAAGCCAAATAAGTTAGTGGGGTTGCTGAGAAGAATGACTGTGAAGAAAGAGGTTCAGATATTCATGTAAGAAATGGAAGAATTTCACAGCTCTTTGAAACTGAGGACAAAGGAGGTGTGTGATAAGATGAAGTGACAGCAAGGAAAGGGATTTAAACATGGTAGTCCAATACTGTTTTCAGCATGTAAATGTCATTATGTATTTTGGAGATAACCTATGTGAAGTTGTGACATAGGTTTGTACTGTAGTTAGTAGTATAAATATGCCTAAGCTAGTTTCAAATTATTTAGTTTGAGCATGAGAACTGCTGTACCCACTGTAACACAGAGATTGGCTGAACTAAAGTACTAAACTGAGCAGCAGAGTGTGTTGGCTCATGCTGAGCTCCTGTGTTGTGGTTGTGCTAATTTTGATTTTGAACTTTGCTTATTGGAAGTTAATATAGAAAAATAATTTCACTTCTCTCTGTCAGGTCATGTAGGAAAGCATCTAAGACATTGCAGGTAGCTTTTTTGAATGTGGTATTACAGTACAGTTAATCTGAACCATACATATTTTAATTAGGTACTAAAAAAGAAGTTGTTCACAGTTTTTGTAGAAGCATAATGCCTTTTTTAAGTAAATAACCTTGTCTTGGCAGTAAGAGTCAGTGAAACTGAATACACAAGCAGCCTCTGATTTGAACACTACTGTTTATAGTGTGTACAGAGGACAGATAGAAATGGCAGCAATCTCATGTTTCTAAGTCTCTAATACTGCCTTTTAAATAGTTGTGTGAATGTTAGCTGGTTACCAGCCACTAGAACACCCTGCTGCTTCTGGGATTGCAGAGGGGAACAGCAAACGGAGTTTTGAGCTGCCAGCAATCCTCCTGAAGTCTTCACTGAACAGCAGGAGATTCTTGAGTGTAAGGTTAACAGGCATAATGGGAAACACACCTGATTTCCCAGGAGGCTGGAGATGTATAAACAAGGGGTAGTGAGAAAATGGGGCTCTGAAACCTCAAAGAAGGTACATAGGTCTGTACCCCAGTGGGCCGTGAAACTGCATTTCTTTGGAGAACTGTGATGGCTGGGGAAAAAATCTGAAAGAACTTGATAACTTGATGTGATGCATTAGGTTTTAGCTTTTATAGTTTTCAGATTCTGTACTGCTTTAGTGTGTAGTTCTGAGCTTCATATTAAGGGATGGTAAGCTTGCTTCACAGAGTAGCTAGAAAAAACAATTCCTTCTCTAGCTTGGGACCAAGGACAACCGATCCAAATTTCAGGCCCGAGAGCATAAACAAGGTGGACTGAAGAGAGGAAAACAAGAAGGATGGGACTTCATAACTTAAAGCTATAACTGGACAAATACCTCCAATATGCTAATGGACTAGAACTTATAAAAGTGAGAGACCTCGTGACCGGTTGTCCATTTTGTGACCATTTTGGTTCATTTTGGGTGTAGCCCTGGCTGGGCTCTTGTACTGCCCAAGGTATATCCATGGAGGCCTTTTAATAAGTAGCTACTTCATCCTTTAACTCCATCTAGCCTCTGTTCTAGGTCAGCCTTAACAAGGCATTGGATGGAAGCCTGGATTTTCCTTTAATGAATGTAGATAGGACCATTCCAGCCTCTTGACCTAACACTCCACAGTTTTAATTTATTTCTTAAGCTTAAATGCCTCATCAGAAGTTACCTTATAGTTTCTTAACCAACAGTTATTCTTTTTGCTTCTCATGTCTGTTCTGTCATTAAAGATTATTCTTTAGGGTTGTAAACAGTCAGAGAAGGTGAAATGTTTAAAATGAGTTTTATTTTTTGAAGGGAGGGGAGTGAGTGAGAAGTTAGAAGATGTAAACAATGTTTATGATCTACCTACAGGAAAAGTTTGGTTGTCCTGTCCTGAACAGAGCTGTTTTATCTGAACTTTCTGAATAGGATTGAGAATAAAGTATTGTATATCTGGAGATGAAATTTTGTATGAGCAGTAACCTCATTTTCTTTGTAGATCCTTTAAATGCCATTGTGAGTATTGTACCATGCATAGAGTGTTTCAGCTCTGAAATGTAAGCTTGGGAAGGCAGATTTCAGTGTATAAACTGTATTACAGTCTGTTTGTAGAGGGTTCTATTTAGGTGCCAAGGTGCTCATTCCCGACTATTCTTTCTGTTAAAGAAAATATGTTCTTATTTTCCTTCCTTGAAAATTTATTTCTGAAGTTGGTAAATTTTTCCTAGATCTTCTCTGAGACATAAGTGATTTTGTTTTCCTGAACACACAATTTTATATGGTAACATATGTGTAAGAGCAGTTTGCTATTGTTCAGGTAACTGGACATTATGGGCTTTTGTCTGTGTATTGCAATTATAAAGCTACTAACCTTATATTAATAATATTTGCCTATTATGACTTATTCGATGCATGAAAGAAAAGCAGGGCAATTCTAAAAACAGAAAATGGTGCTGAAACACGTTTGTGCGTCTCTGCTGGATTATCAGCCACGAGGATAACAAACGTTTCTTTTCTGCTTTGATTTTGCATGAATCCTACATTTTAGAATTAAACTAGACTTCTCATGTTGTATCAAGTGCATATGCAATATTTTTCCTTTGTTAAGTACAGTTTGTATGATTTTAAATTTTTTATGCTGTGGCTGATTTTTAAAATTACTCAACAGACCATCAGATAAGGCTCATCTCAGAAAAAAGACATGTGAGTGTTCAGCTTCAAGCCTGTGATGAGGAACAAAGCAACTTTTGAGCTGAAAATAGAACATGTATCTAAAGATCTTGATTCAAGCAAGTTGTTTAATGGCTACTTGTTTGGTCTGCAGTAGCTCAAAATTTTTGTTGGAACTACTGCAGAGGAGTTCCTGGCCAAGGGAGATTCATTTAGACATCATTTAGAATGGCATGTGCTCATACAGACTCCTTTGAAGTGGACTTTGCTGCTTGTTTGGGACATTCTTATGGCTCTGTACATGGATCTGTTTTTTCCAGGTAGTTTGAAATTTAATAGTTTTCTTGAAATCCCTGATTTATGTGAAAGGGTTTTTTATTTTTTATTTTGGTCTGGTAGTTGATTGAGAAGCATCCATTAACAATTGAAAGATTTGCTGGCGTTTTCAACAGAAGGGCCAAAAGTTGGTTCAACAGTACAAGCACATTGCTTGTACAGTAGAGAAATGCAATATAAAAACAAGAGGATATTATAATTGAAAGTTACGTTTTCAGAACAGAAAACTTAACAGGTGAATTTTCTTTCTCATCAGAGTAGCTTGTGAAGGACAGAAGTTTATTTTCCAAGATTGCATTTCTGATTCTAGTTACCTTCTCACCACCTCTGACATTTCTGATGATATCATCATCAACAGTGTTTAGAGGTAGATTAACAGAGATCACAGGTTTTTGTAAAGATGAAAGTGATTCTTGTGTTCTTAGATTTGCATTCAGAAATGTCTAATTCAACTGATGAATATAAAAAACAGAAGTCCCACTTGTTTCTATGTTAAAGCTTCCCATATTGTTTTAAAAACATATTGATTTTTTTGTTGATGATGCTTAATTTTCTTTCTAAGCAGATTGCAGAAGGATCTCAAGGCAGTGCTATTAAAAATAAGACACAAAACCTCTCAAAACATCCTGAAACATTTAAGGTGTCCTTCTTTTTTTTTGAATCCAAGGATGCTGTGACGATATGCACTCTTGGAATAGGAACTGCTTTTGGAGAGTCCATTCTGGATAACACTCCTCGCCATGCTACCATTGTTACCAGGGAACATAGTGAACTCCTTAGAATTGAGCAGAAGGACTTCAAAGCACTTTGGGAGGTAAGTTCAGATTTATTTGCAGTTAATGCAGAAAAAAATGACTTGACTTTGAAAGCATTTGTAATATAGTATTGTTGCATCTCATGTTGGACGAGCCCTTGTTGCTGCTGGCACGTGCAGCCCCAGGATGGAATCCACTGGGCATGTGGCAATAAAATAAAACAAGTGATGGGAATGACTAAAGGGCTAGAAATGGAAAGCTTTAATGGAGATAAAAGGAGGCACGTAAGGTCACAACACAAAGCATAAACAGCACAGATGTACATACCTCCTTTAGAAGACCCCCAAATGGCACGAACTCAGCCTTATATAGGCATTATCTAAGGGCAGGGAACCAATGAACAGAGAGAAACAGAAACAATACAATACAAGCACAAGATTAACTAATCAGAGGGCAGGGTTCAGAACATAGCCTTATAAGGAATAACTTAATCTGCATAATGTTCCCATTATCCTTTTCTTCTCCTTCACTTCTCACCATAACCTTACTAGAGATTTCTCATCTTAGCTGCGTAGTGTCCAGGGTCTAATGTTGTTATTTGCTGCATGGTTGGCCCACAGCCCATCCTCTCCAGGATGGACCACCACATAGTATGATGACATTTATATCATAAGCAAAGTATAATTATTTTAAATTAGTTTGGAAAAAAAGGAAAGTTTTCACTTCTCTGTCGTGCTTCATATAATGTATGATTACATACTCCTGTATTTCTTTCTTGTAGGCCTCTTGTAATGAAATAACTTAGGTGGTAGAATTTCTGGTAGAATTTATTTATATACTGCAGGTGTTGCTCTCTTAGCCTTAATTTTGCTTTTATTGCCAGCTTTTATGAGGAGAGTCTATTTTTATTATACTCTGAAATTTTAAATTATTCTCATTTTCTCCTGTCTCATCACCAGCTGTAAGGGGTTTAGAATTTGCAGATGGATCAAGATCACTTAAAAATTGACTTACTGATTACATGTGAATTCCCTTAAAACTTTCCTTTGTGGAAAACATACCACTGAGGTTCTTCATTCTGTAGTCTGTCTACTTTGGTATCCATGCAGAGAAGACTTCATTAACATGTTGCCGCAGAAAGTTACTGAACTTGAATCTGTTTGCATTTTTGCAAGCACTACTTTTGGTTTGAAAATTGTTGTGGGAACTGGAAGGCATCCTGTCGGCCTGGCCTACACCATTGCCAGTTTGTACTTCCAGCTTGTTTGAAATGGTGACTGTACAAGTGTAGGTGTTGTGCAGAGCTGCCAGATGGTGTGACAGTGTCCTAAAGCTGCAGGTCTAGGGACACAAATTATATTGAAGAAATAGGTGCTGGTTTTAACATTTTAGTTCAGCTTCTAACTGTGGATGGATGGAATTTTTTTCTTTGTTTTCCTATGAAAGAGTAGTATTACACTGCAAATAATTGTCCTGAAGCAGTTCTGAAGTCAGTATCAGAAAAAAAGTCAGATCCCCAACTATCTACATTGATGGAGGAAATGGCACTTTGATCACCTGCCTGACAATATGTTACCTTGAGCACAGTTAATGGTGCAGCATTGCCAAGGCATGAAAGACCACTGTGTGAGTGAAACATGCTTGCCACTGAATGCCCTGACAGTATCAGATAATTGTTCTTTGAATTGCATAGCCAGGATTTGTACTGTTTTTTGGCAGGTTCTACAATGAAATTAAAATGTTTTGGCAATTTCTACAGTTACTGAAGTTTTGCAGTTAATTTGAAGAATCTGACAAGGCAATATTTTTTTGCAGTTCACAGGGTTTTTTTTTTTGCTACAGCAGCTGCATTGTAGTTTTAGGCCTTGGCATGAAAAGATGAAATATGCCGGTGGTCTCATCTGTTTTAACATATGCAGCATTTGTCAGTAGTCAGAAATTTGATAATGTGGATAGTGCTTTACAAGATAATGATGGGTGGAATAAATCCAATTTCAGCTTTCTCTGGTAACATTTTTGTAAAAATTCACTTTTAATTGGTGTAAGCACAGTCATTTCTCCCATGCATATGAATTTCCTGCTAAGCTTTCAGAGATTGTTGTTCTCTTACCAGGATTATTGGAGACGTGGAGGTTCCCTTCTAAAATTTTTTTAATTTTATATTTAAAGTTGTTTTTAAAATAATTTCAACATAATTTGCTCTTTAATCACTATAATACAGTTTAATTTCTAGCACTTTTGATGAATTTGCTGATTTTTTTTGGTGATAGATGCTTTTGTGGAAGATGATATGAGTTAGAAGTACTGGAGTGATCACAGGCAGCTTTAGCATACACCTTGTGTGTTGCAGCCTTTATGAAATTGAGCTGTAGAACACATCACAAATGCTGCAGGTGTCAGTCAGAGACCACAGTTTGGATTGTGGTGCTTCTTTGCCTTTTGTGCCATTTTACAGTGAACTTCTCATATATTTTGTTGTGTATTCTTTCAAGGAGGCTATCCCTGTGCTCTCAGTGAGTGGAAAATTGTTCAGTGAAATACAACTTTGCTGGTTGGTCTCAGATATAATAAAGTTGTTCCTTTTGTCAAGGTAATATTTATTTCCTTGCAACCTGCTAATCCCAGAGTCTGCATAAACTGCAGCTAGCATGTGATAAAGAGACAATGTTTAAAGTCGATAGAAAATTATTTAAGAAAATTTTCCCAACAGTAGCACCAGTACTATATTATTATTAATATTGTTGTTACCTGAAGAAAGGTAAATACTTTTCTAAAGGGAGACTTTTTATGTTTTTGATGCTGCATTGTTCTTTCTGCCTTATCCTAAGGTTGATATATCTTTGCTGTGACAAAGTCTGTATGAGGAAACTGTTATTGTTACATGTCATTCTGTTTTGAATTGTGTTTAGTGAAAACCCACACAAAGTCAAGAGTGGATCACAGATATTTAATACATATGGTACCATGGAAAAATGGGGAAAGGCAATATTGTCGGTTCATTACAGTCCAGATACTGTAAAAGTTAAAATCTACTGTGGGCAAATTTCAACTGTCCACATAATGAGAATTTAATTAATGAAAGAAGTAGTTTATCCAGGAAAAAAAAAGTAAAATATTGCCAAAATAATGTATAAGAACAGTATAAAGAACAGTAGTATAAGAACAGCCTAAATAAATTGTAGGGTTAGTATTCTTAAAATGGTTACTGATTTTATGTGTGTAGAATTTTAATGATTATTAATAGAAGTGTAAAAGTACAATATATGTTATTTTTAATTTGTTTGGTTTTCCCCGAGAAACTAATTTTTGGGGAAATTTATTTCCTTCTTTTGAGAGAAATAACAAAACAAAACTCTGTTAACCAAATAAGAGTTATTCCTTCAGAGTAAAGAAAATCCAATACTGCAATTTTAAGTATTGTTTCTTGTTTTTAGATTGTGAAGGTAATCTTGGAAAATGAAACAACAGAAGTAGATTCAGTATTGGCTTTAATTTTCTGTACAACTAATCTGAAGTGCTAGGAGTAAAAGCTATGAAATGTCCTTCTTAACACTAAAAATTTGTTAATACTGAAGCCTACTGATGAAGTTCACATTTGCAACAAATATTTTTATATCAATGCAGTTCTTTGAAAGACAATTACATATCTATTATGCTGCTTATGAAACTTTTAGTGTACATCCTGAAACTAGATTTAGAAAGTTTATTTATTTTAATTATTTCTAAGTTTAGAAAGAATTTTCAGTATCTCTGAAACTTCATATTGTGAATTTGCAGACTTCTCTGAGTTTTGTTTAAATTGAAAAGTAACTTATCCTGTATTAGCTGTATTGCTCTAAGCAGCAATGGTATTGGTATAATGATTCCCAGATTAGATATGTTTTACTGATGTACTTAATGCACAATATACAGCAAAGGTATTAATTTCTATGAGTACTGATGTAGTTGGGTCTATACCTGAAAGAAAAAGGGATAGCTACTACTAAACTGACTTTTTTTTTTAATTAGTCTGCCAGCTTTTTAAATTTAAGTATTCTTTAAGTAAAAGATAGGATATTCTTTATAAAAAATACAGTAAGGTGCCTTCTGTAATACCTGCAGCTCTATATTCAGTCAGCCCTTTAAGTGCAGAAAGATTTTCTGTGACCTTCATTTCTATCAGTCAGGGGATGCTGGTCAAAACAAATGACATTGTCCTGATAACAACAATTACCAGTTAAAATGAGCCAGTCTTTTCTCTAATGACTGTGTCTGTTAAAGTAGCATCCTGTTGGGGAACATCTGTTGATCTTTGCTGCTTACTCATCCTTGGAGACTCGTTGTCTATCAACGCTGTTACAGCGGATTAAAGATGATGAAATCTCACACTGAATTCTCACACAGCTGAACACTGTTTCCTGATAAAGAGCTACTAGGTTATGGGAATCGCTGGTGATTGTTCCTTTGTGCACCGAATGTCCTTGGCTTTGGTGTCTGAAGAGCACTAACAAACGTGAAAGAAGTAACTCGTTACTGTTACAACACTGTAGACTTCCAAGATACTCTATGGATCTGTAGGAAAAAAATACTGTTTGTGTTGATGAGGGCTTGCTTTCCTTCCTCAGCATGTATAAGTGATTGTGGTGCTCTTGCCCAAAAAACAGCTTCAAAGCACAAAGGAAAATACATCCAAAAATAGACATGAAAATAGAAGGCTACGCATGGGGAGCTCTGGTCACGCACATCCTGTTGAGCACTACCTTGCTCCACCCCTAATAACTGGATTCTTTTAAACAGAGTTGGAGGGAAATGAGTGCATTTGAGCAGTGTGATCATTACTGTTCTCCGTAATTCATCCTTGAGCTTTGTCTTTTCATGCAGTTGCAAACTGATTCAAACCCAGACAGGAAGGGAGTGAATCTGCTGAGAGGTGACTTATTTTTGGAGGTCTTTCCTACTGTGGTGTATTACTCAGCCTTCCTTGGATAACATACAAATAACCGATTTCCTTTTCTGTGGACTGTGTTAGAAGTTACTGAACATGCCTTGAGAAACACTTGAGTAATGAAGAACAGATATT